CTACTACCTACCCTACTACTACCTACCCTACTACTACCTACCCTACTACTACCTTCATGGTCCAATGGTCTCATACCACATTATTCAGGGGGGAGTGGACCTCATGAGTGGTATCTCATACCTTCTTGACCTTGTTGACCTACCATGTGGGGGGGGGGGGTTTATTAATCCGGTCTTTGCATTACAGGAAGGCTGACCCACATGTTCATGCTTTCTAGTGCTTTCTGGCCCACCATCCACCTCCTCACTTCCATGGTGCTGGCCATCCCTGGCCGTCTCGTGAGGGCGGCCCGCCTCTGCCCTGGCAGACCAATCCACAGACTTGGCCCTCTCCACGCCCTGGAGGCGACGACCAGAAACCATCACCTCCCAACGAACATCCAAGGAAACCAAAGGGTAGCAACCCTGAAGTTCTGAAGAATCACATCTTCCACTTCCCGTCTCAATCATCAGCCCGCTTTCTCAAAAGAAACACCAATTGCGCCAACTGTTGGGTCACCTTCACTTCTTGATGCCATGATGACCTCCATATCCAAAAGCCTCCAATCTCCTCACCTCTCCGACCTATCCCAAGTCCTTCCAAAACATTACAAGCAAAAAGGCCACTCACAAAGGGCAGCCACTCCCACCTCACCTCCACCGCTCCGTCCGACTCCGTCCCACCTGTGAGACCTGCTCCGACAGGGAGCTACCCGCCGCACTGGCTGTGTCACTCACCTGGCGCAGCAAACTTCGCCCCCCAAGCGCAATGTTAAGAGTCTTCCTGAAGAAGTCTTCCTGGTACCATTGTGGGCCATGGATTTGAAAGGACTTTCTCTACTCCTGTCGCATATTCCTCAAGAACCTGGCAAGCAAAAGAACCTGGCCCTCGGTCTTTGAAGGTGAACCGCCAGAAATACCGCCCGCAGGGCATACCATCCTCCATATGCTTCATCCATTCGGAACTGTTGTTGTTACATTCAAGTCCCCACCCCAGTGTCTGGCCACTAGAGTCGCTAGAGTGACTCTAGACTGAGCATATCTAAGCATCTTCTCCGAGGTCAGGTGACAGGTTTCAGAAAACTCGGGAGTTTGAAACGGTCCAGCCTTTTGGAAGCTGGTACTCACAGACTCACGAACCCCTTGTACCTCACGGAGCAAGCCAAACACATCAGGTCAGGCTTGATATGACAAATTGGGACGTTCTGGCCACAGTTTTGCAAACAATACATGGTTTCCAACAATTCATGCCACTTCGTAGGGGCACTTCCTTGAAGGTGTGCACTAAAACCGTTTACTTATGATATTGTACCATATTAATGTATATATATATATATACATAGTTGTATATACCGTATACCATTGTATACGACATGTACATGCATGTTTTGTGCAGTTTGTTCCATCGTTGTGTGCCCTTTGCGCACCCTTTTGCACCATAATGCCATTAGAGTTCAGTCTCATCTCTCACCATTCGGTGGACAACCCAAATTTCAAAGACAGCATGCATACTCGCATACATATATACACATAGACCACCCATTTCTGTCAATCAACTCTTCCGGACTTCGCCAGCATCTTCCGGAGTTCGGCAGCCAAGGATGCTGGGTTGGTCCTCTGTGTGCTCTTGTGTGGGTGAAACGTTTCGTGCTCGCGAAGAAGGGCAGAAAGCCCAAGAGCCATATCCTGGCAAGAAATGGCCATTTCCCCAGAAAAAAGAACCACTTATATGGAAAACATCTTCACGGGGTGTGACACTCAGAGGATGACAGGGATTTGCTCCCAAAAGTGGCGTTGAACACGCAAAAAATAAAAACAACGTGTCTCCACTGGCGCGGCTAAGCGTCTCCACCGGTGGTAGGATAGAATGATGATGGGCCCAAGCACCAATAGAAGAACCACCACAATGATGATAATTGCCCATGTTGGGAGCAGCGACGGGGATCGACACACGCAAGGGCCAGAATCCTTGACAAGCTCAATGCTCATCATTCCTTCGTCCTCGTGATCCAGTCGGTGGCAGTGAAGCATCACCTTTCCGGTAAATGCCGCTGGCTTATACCTCACCACGCCTTGACCTTCAATTGTGTCGTGCCAGTCTCCGGGCAGGTCATAATTGCCAGCACTGGTGCCAATGTTGTTGTTGTTGTTGCGGTTGTCATTGTCTCTCCTATCATTGTTTTCAAAGCCGGACATGAGTTGGAAAGGGTACACATGCTGGTGATACGGGTGGCTTCTGGCCGTGATCGCACGCTCGACCACGGCACCCAGGTAGCTCTCGTGCAGAATGAAGTCCTCCTCAAAGAGATGGCCATTCACCGTCCGACCCTCCAGCTCCGTCACGCACGAACAGTCTGGTGAGGTCTCGGTGGTTTGAAGGTCTTCCAGGTAAGCTGGGTACCTAGCAGGGCGCGTCCGCCAAGAGTCATGCCAGCCTCTCAAGTGATTGGTGGATGTGTCTGTGTCCTACTCACCCACGTCACCTTGCAAACCAATACTAATACCAAGTGTATGCATATATTGTCAGTCTTAGACGCCTCGTTGAGATAAACCTCCATAGTGAATGAATAGATTAGATGTGAATGATGATTGGGTTCCTCCCTGGCTGCAAGCGTCAGTTGGATCGGCATCTCCATGTCTCCATGCTCAGAGCGCTACAGTAAGGGTGTCTCTACTCACCGGCTATGTGGACTTGACAGTCCAAACTCTTTGGCAATCCGAAAACTAAGTGATGACCCTTGAGAAGATTGTGCCAAGAGCTAGGGTTTTTCTTGGGAGGGCCACCGTATCACACATCAAAACGTGGATGGTTTTTGTCAGTCCTCCCACCTGGGGCTCCAAGCTTCCAAGTCCAAACTGCTTGGAATCAGCTCGCCAGTGCTTACAGTGGCAATTCTCTCGGCACCCCAGGTCACCTGCGACGTTTTGGGGACCCCAAAGCCTCCTGCAAACTGCAGACTGGTTGGTTGGAGTTCTTAACAAACCAAATGTGGATCTGACACAGGGATTGTACACCTACATTGCTTGGGGTCTCCCATTGGCAAATCGGGGTGCCCGCATCTAGGACCGTGCTTGCCTGGTACTCGGTGTGTGGGGCCATGCAACGAACCATGAGATCCGCCCGTCCGCCGACCGGAATCGGGGCATAGCCAGAGAGCATCCGAGGAAAGTCACGAATGTAAATACCATCCTTGGCCTCATTTTCGCGGAATCAAAAGGGTCGACGGACAAGCAAGCCAGGTGTTGCGGCAAGCTGTTGGGATTGATGTGAAGTCAAAGTACGAGATTTACAGTGTTTAGGGGACCATATATATGTGTATATATATATAACTCAGGAAACCACGGACACCTCAAGCATCCGAGCTGCCAGCAACGCCTTTTCGCAGCCAGAGATATCAAAGTTGAGAACCTCTGCCAGCCATCCTGCGTAGACAATTCTAAATCGTGTCCACTCTCCTCCACGTACACCGATGGTGGGAGCGACCTCGCCATTGACCAAAGTGGTGAGACGACCGCCCGAAGAGCTAAACCAAGAATCTCGTGCTCTCGAAGCAATCCGAGCTGTTGTTTCCAGATCGATCTGCATCACAACAAGGATCACCTGAATGATGTGAGCACAAAACTGGCTAACACCCAACACGCCACCCAATGGCGGACAACTTCATGAGTCTCGTTGCAGGACGAATGGCCACCAAACAAAAAACAAACATATACCTCCTACACCTCATAGTACATAAATGTATATAGTATAGGAAATGTTCATCCCTGCTACAGTGGTTTCAGAGTAGATGGCACAAACCCCATGATCTCCTTTTGTAAATCCCTTAGATGGGGGTCCATATAGACCACCGACCTTCGAGTCTGTGCTATCTACTCTCAAATCCACCACAATACTTTAGTTGGTTGTCGGAGCTAGATCGGTGGCCTCAGGAGCTCCTTCCACTTGAGCTGGAAGTGTTCCAGGTGCATCTTCCACGATCAGTGCCGCTGCGGCGCCCCCGGCCAGCTGCAGCGCAGTGGAACCGTGTCGATGTGGATGTAGCCAATGAGTTCCAGGCATGTGATCTTGGGGAAGCAGTGTCATGTACACCCTCTCCTCCCCTGGCAGGACTGGGACCATAGAATCATCTGAGGGCAATTCACCACTCACATGTAGCCCATGAAAGTGCAGGTTGGACTCATCCGCAGCGGAAAACTGATTGTGCACATAAGCGCTGCCTTGGTCCACAAGCAGGTTCTGGAAACGAATCTTCATCTCATCACCAGGCCTCACTCGGATGGTTGGTCCGGGGATGGTCTGATTGAACACCCTGGTCTTCAGCGTCACGCCATTGATCGCCAGTATCGCACGCTCAAGGATCACCGTGATCTCTAAGGACCCATTGATGGAACTCACTGACGGCATCACGGGCAAGGGTGTGCCCAAGCCCAGCCCAAACACGACAGCCAGCAAGGTAGCAAGCATAGCATCGAAAGCGATCATCTGAGTGATCTTTGGAGAGTGACAACATGAACGCAACGTAACCACAGGAGATTTCACTGAATCCTTTATATACAATGCTTCCTTTAATATGAAATCACCTGGACATGTAGTTTTTGAGCCAGCTGAGCCATTTCAACTCAACGTGTGAGAAGAGCCCGTTGGTAGTGTCTTGTGCTGTCTGCCTGTGAAGCAATCTCTAACATTTGTGCACCGAAGCCAACCAAAGCGGCCGACCTGCTGCGTCCAATCGATAGTTCTCGCATGTTGCAAGCCCTGCCCAGTCCGTCGCGTGAAGGTGAGATGGGGTGAAAATGGAGCTTCACATGGGCAATCCATTGGTAATTGCGTGCGTGTGCCCATTCTGCTTGTGTTTGAACAGCTCACTCAACAGCTTTGTTGATGAGACACTTCTTTTTGACCTATACAGGACCTATACATGCAGAACATTACAGAACTTATAAATATTCAACAACATATTAATATTAACTATCTCAGAGTGTAACCAGTCGTGAAAGTTTGGCTTTAAACCATTATCCATCAAATCCAGTTTTGCTGCAGGATTGATTTCTGTGAAGGATCTCTTGCACATGGCTTTCAGGCTATCTAACCAATCCACCCAAATCTCCGTACCAGTTTCAGTCTGTAGGTTACAAAAAGGCACTCGGGGGGCAATTTGCGCTTGTTATCAAGGCCTGCAACAAATAATGTCTTGTATCCCTGTCCGTTCGCCCAGCCGCTTGATTTCAAAAAACGACAACATAAGGTGTATGAGATATGCCTGGATGAGATTGCTGACGCTATGTTGAGAAATGCGTTTGAACAATCGCCTTGAACAGGGTCTTGGAGCATCTTTAAGCGAGGGAATCCTGGAATTTCATTCCAATTTGTGTATATTTTTGTGGGAGTTCACTTCACAACAGTTCCACATGCACGCCTGCGAAAGGTTTTGCTGCGCGTGCCTGAGCACCACATGTGTGCTTCACTTGCTGTGAGAGTTCAACTCCTGGGAGCTGCAGGTATGCAGCCTCCACACAGTATTGGTATGTAAATGGCAGTAGTTGTTTAAGGTTGGAGTGATGTGGACTGAGTACACTGTAGTAGTAGATTCTCTGGTGATAGAGGAGAATCAAGGGATCCCCAGCAACCCATTAGCCACCGCCATGAAGACAGGTAACCTATTAGCCGCCGCCATGAAGACAGGTTCCGAAGAGACAGCATCCCAGCTCTCCAGCTCAGGTGAGCTATACTAGCTTTGGTATATCAGGGACTCAGGTCACCAGCAGGTATCTTGGAACCATTACAACTGGGCCACAATGGCCACAAGACTCTTGTCACATGGCGGCTGGTTTGGCAACCGAAGACTTAGGTCCATCCACATGACCAACAAACATCAGGTACTCCTTGGTGATGTGTCATGTCTCATGTGGCACAAAAATCGCACTCACCCTTTGGAAGCTCTGCAACTTCCTTACAGGTTGAAATGCACCTGAACATCCATGAGAAAGGCTCCACAATCATCCACAATCTACATTAAAAAGCAAGCCAATGACCTTTAATGTTCTTATATACTACCTCGCTTTGGAGGCACCCTTGCTTCCGCATGAGCAGGAGAAAAAGCAAAAAACGCCATCCAAACCCAACAAGGAGACGTGCTCTCACTGGTGTGCTCCCACCGGTCGCACGTCTCTCACGGGAATCGTCACGGTGTGCTCGCCTCGCCCAAGCTCCCAATCGGTCATGCATCTCCACCTGCTCGGAACTCGGAACCGAAAGCGTCACAGAAGGGATCAGGACACTGGGAATATGAGGATTGGACCAAACTCATCCCAAATCATCCATCTGTGTCGGAGCCCCCTGATTGGTTGGGTTTATCAAGGCTTATCCTGTAAGGGGGAAGGGGGAAGGTGACAATGACCATCCCGGATAGGTTCCCGCAACCTTGAATTCTCTCCATTACGCATGTTTGTTTGAGTAATTCATCAGGGGGTCATCACCCTGAACTCCTGTAATGGGACAAGCACGCAAAAGCCGAGTTATTGTGATTTTCAATCAAACCACCCATATAGCCTAAGACCGCAAAAGGCCGTTTGCTTCAATCATGTTATGTTGTTTCCTTGTGGGCTTCCACAAGGAAAGGCCCATTTTGAAAAAAATGCAATTAAAGTCCAAAATAAAAAGCAACCAAAAAATGCACAAAAGAACGCTAGGTTGATGCAATCCAAAAAAAAGCACACCAAAGTGCAAAAAATGGCTAGATTGATCCACTGCCGCAAAAAAGGAAGCGCGGACTCCTTCGTGCTCTCTTTCTCTCTCTCTCTCTCTTTCTTGCTTCTCTCTTTGTTTCTTGATTTGTCTTCTCTTTTCGATCTGTCCGTTGGTAAAGGTCAATTGAGACAGAGAGAAAGCGGGGGTTTGTGTCGGTGGCGGGATTGGCAGGTAGGCAGCTGGGCAGGTTGCGCTGCGGGGCGGGGACGGGGGCAGGTGGGGAAGGGCTTGCAAGGGCGGGCGGAGCGGGGGCGGGGTTGCGGACAGGGTGGCGCGGGGACGCGGCTGGGGGGGGGGGGCGCGTGACAGGGGTGGGACAGGCAGACCCTGGGAACCTGTCCAGGCAGCATCTGGGAAGCTAAAATGTGAGGATGTCTCGAGTGAAATGCAAATAAAAAGCGAAAAACATGCGAAAAATAAGCGACAAAAATGCGAAAAAAAGAAGAAGTGCAAAAACAATGCGCCGAACGTGTGGGGGGGTTGACCTGCCAAAATTGAAATGCAATAAAAAAGCAAAATAAAGTGCTGGCTTTCGGCTTTCCTTCCTCCATCTTTGTGGACTAGAGGACCTAGGCTACCTGGGGTCTAGAAGTCTACAGTCTATAGGGTTGAGGTCTTCCTAGCGCAGCCATCACTTGAGGCCAGAGGGGGTGAACGAAAGCTAGCCGGGCTTCCGGTGGTCTGCTGCTGGTGCTGCTGCTGCTGGTGCTGCTGCTGCCGCTGCTGCGCTGGGCGCTGCTGCGCTGGGTGCTCTGCAGGCACCGGGTCGTCTGCTGCTGCTGCTGCTGCCGCTGGGTGGTCTGCTGCTGCTGCTGCTGGTGCTGCTGCTGCTGCTGCTGCCGCTGGGTGGTCTGCTGCTGCTGCTGCTGGTGCTGCTGCTGCTGCTGCCGCTGCTGCGCTGGGCGCTGCAGATGCTTGGTGTGCTGCAGCTGCTTGGTGGTCC